TACTGTGGAACATTCGCTCCGCTTCTGCGGAAATTTCCACCGGCCGGAAGTCCTGCAACCACTCCTCGCTGCTGCTTTCCCAACAAGCCCCTAAAATTTTTCTAAATAATTTTTACTATATTTTTATTTTCCCCTGTCAATCTGGTCTTTCCCAATCCCTACTGTGCTTCTTCATATCCCAATACTCTACTCCTGTCCATCTTCTATATCTCTTATACACTCCCACCTTCTACCCTAGCATCTTTTCCTACTCTTCCAACTACTAGTATCTATCTATTCCTTTCTCTGTATATCAAAGTATATTAATCTATCCCTATATTACTATCTGGACACTTCTTCACCTACTCCTCTCCAAAATCTTCTTTCATCCCAACAATCGTATCTTATATTGCTACTACTTCTCCCTATCTAATCCATCTCTAACATCATACCTGTAATACGTCCACATGTACTCCATTAATCTAACTACTACAATATAATATTGATCTATCCTCATTCTACTTATTTGTTTTATGTCCACTACTTTTCTTACTTACACTACACTTTATATTCCTATCATACTGTCTTCCACACAAACAAGGCTTATTTGAATAAAGGATGCAAGGACATATTCTAAAAGATGCTATGTGCACAGATCTACTATTCTTTAAGCTTTCTCTGTCGTACTAAAATCAACTGATAAATTAAATCGCTAAGTTTTGTACAATATAAAATTTGCATGCACACCCATGCACGGCTTGTCACTGTCCGTCAAAACTATAAGTAATCTGATCAGAGTACTGCCGGCTGGATTTCTTACTCTATTCTCCACAGATGCCAGTTGCACTGTGGTGGATACCGAACAAGGATCTTCACTTGGCAATCCTTCAGAAAAACAGCTCCAAAGTACTTCCACTGACAACACCTCGGCCAGTTCAATTTCCAAGCCCAGAGTTTTCAAGGATACAACTGGCTGTTTTACTACTTTTCTGAATCATCCTGAAATCTCTGAAATAATCAATAAGTACTTTGAAAGAATGAATCTTGCCCAACACAAAGAGTATCCAACTATTAAAGATGAGATTTAT